ACTCGTGATGTGAGGACTTCGTCACTCAACTGAGTAAGAGAAGAAGAGAGAAAAGTTAACAACCAATTTCAAATGAGAAAGAAACGAAACAAAAAGGAAATTATTAACTAGGGAAAGTATTAATTTCTCATAAATGTTTCTATCAATGACAATCTGTTTCCAGAAAGGTAAACAATATTACTGTTTATGTTTGCAATGAAAAATAATACAATAATAATGCTGATACCTCTTTTCTGAGTTTGACAGGATTGACACACACACCTTCGGTTGGACCGCTTACAGCAGGGCTTACAGCAGGGATGCTTTGAAGGCGGAGTTTGCTCAACACTTGTCTCTGTTAATTAATCTTGGATAAGATGTCAAAGTTTAAATTGCGTTTACAAATGCAGGGAGAGTGAGAAGAACACAAGAGGGTTTGATTAAAAATCAAATACCTAATAATCTATTTGTTGGGAAAGATTATCTTTGTCTCTTTTTAGAGTTGGTTGATGGTTCTTCCAGGTTTGTTCCCTACAAATGTGCAAAATAAGATGGAATAAAGCAGGACAGAACAGGAAAGACGCGATGAGAGAGAAATGAAGCAAGGAGGTTGGATCCCGCTACCTTTAGATCTACTACGAGTAGTATAGAATTGGTAGTTGATGAACAACTAAACACACAAATAAACTTCGTAAAAGACAGTTGTCTCTGGTTTATTTGAAACTCGTATTGAGATGGTAATGTCTCCTATTGAAGCGTCACGCAAATGAATTATTCCAATATAGTGGTTAAGTTTATAACCAACAAGACGAAAGGATAAAACGCAATGACAATAATAAGCAAATCTGAGTCTAACACTATTTTTTGTAATAGTAATAATAACCTTCAAATTTTAACTTTCAGAGTTCTTAAGTTTCAAAAACTAATTCACCTAAAGTGATTAGATCTCAAAGAGAAATGTAAAAATTATGAAAATTATGCAATTAGAATTATTACAAAAATAAATCTAGAAATCATTAGAAATGATCTGTTTAGAAAGGTAGAATCTCAATTTTGCAATTTCTTGTTCTTTTAAAATCAAATTCGAAATTTGACAATTAATAATCATAAACCAGTATTTTCTTTTTCAAGTAAAATGCAGGTAAAACAATTAATAATGGTACACCAGTATTTTCCTTTCAGGAAAAATATGGTTAACTTTAAAGAAAAGTGTGATAAAGTTAAAAGAAGAAACAAGAAAAGATCGATAGGTGTCTAAATGGTTAAATCGCTTTAACGTTAACAGACACTATAGCTAACCGCTGGGGTTAGTATTGATAATAGTAACTGATGCTAAAGGCTTTAGCACAGGCCTCAATGCAAACAACCGCTCAGCTTTAGCTTAGCCTAGCTTAGCGTAGCGTTTGTTTGGTTTGTTTACAAAGTTCGAGGGGGTCAGAGTTCACCCGGAAGTGTTGGTTAAGACTTCCGTGTCACGATAGCAACTAAACCGATCAAGCGAACGCTAGTGGGCGAACCGTGAATTGCAGTTGGTAAGCAGTTTGTTAGAGTTCCATGCAATGTGAGCGCATTTCGATGTTCACAGAACATGTACAGTAACAAATCGATCATATTACGGGAAATGTCGGCGCATTTCAAACTGTTCAAATAAAATACACCACTCGTAGCTGGGTTTACGACATGGGGCTTCACTCAGTTTGTTGAGAGTGATAACTTTAAGCACGCGGCGGTGCGCTCTATAACGATGGTCTCGTCTCTGTCTTTGTGCAGGTTTAGTTTCACACAAAGTAACAGGGTCTAACTTGGTTCAGTTTCTAAACAAGCTTTACTTGGACAAAACTTAAAATAAGTCCTATTCAATTACACTCGGACACGCGCAGTGTTTACACGATAAATAATTGAATAGACATACACAGAAAAGCATTAACTTTAACGTTAACTGTTTATCACGGGGATCACGGATAGTGGGACACGCACTGGTGATCAAATAAAATAAACAGATAAGCATTAAGTGTTTATCACAATGGAACACGCACTGCGATCAAACAAATAAACAGATAAGCATTAAGTGTGTATCACGGAGATCACAATGGAACACGCACTGCGATCAAATAAAATAAACAGAAAGCATTAAGCATTTATCACGGAGAAGCAATGGAACACGCACTGCGATGAGATAAATAACTTTAAGGCTTTTATGAGTAGATTCGACAAGGAACACGCTTGACGCTCTGTCAGGAAAATATTGTAACTTACAGGGTTAGTTTTAATTACTGCAGTTTGATTTCGTTCGGCTTCTCTGACTTATATAAACACACACACTCAACGGTATAGCTCTTTGAAAGACTCTGGAACACGCAGATATCTCAGCTATAACGAGGCATTTCTGGAAATAAGGAACACGCTTAATTCCTACCTTATTTTAGTGTGAGGTCTTATATCTTAGTTAAAGATAAAAGAAAACAAAAAAGGCGACAGACTAGACTTCTCCGCTTTCTCTGGGAGTTTCACTCACAGATAACAGCAGCAGCAACATTCAACGTGCGCGCGGCGCATACGTCACACACAGACTCGCGGAGGTTCGGATCTCGCATCCGCAACCAAAAATGAAAAGATAATTTCTTGATATATGTTCACAATTTAGGTTGAACTGCCCGCATTCTCCACCAATTATGCAACATATAATAATATACATAAAATGTATTAAGGGGGCCGAAGGCCAATTTAGCTCAAAGGGAAATGATTCATTGATTTGCAATGAATCTATGGAACCGAATCACTGAACCGAGCAAATGACTCGCTTAGAATTCATTTGAACGGGCCGTAATTATAACCAAATCTATAGTGAAACACTATGTCTTCTTAGCAAGGTAACTTTAAATCGAACAGTACAAGACATTAAATGTGCAAACACGACACAAGAAGATTTATCTTTTCAAATATATGGACAAGACTTTATTAGCTATTCTAAGCACAAACTAAGGTCTAAACATAATCACGCACACGCACACACACATTCATACAGTCGCGAAAGGGAAAGAGTGAGTTGGAAAGAGTGAGAGAAAGTTTCAACTTTCTATATGCACGTAAGACATAACCTGAAAGGACCACCAAGCATTAATTTGAACCTTCGTTTCTTAGAGAGGTTATTCAATTAACATTAAAGCACCAGTTCAGTTAGAGCCTGGAGTACTTGCGCTTTGTAGTGGCTGAGGGAATTCCCTTTGTCTGCGTCGCGTCGAAGGGGGGGTTTCCCGGCCGGGTCCGTTGCGTGGTTTGTTGTCTTTGAAGTGCAGGGATGGAAGTTTCGCCGCTGGTCACGTGTGATTAGCAAGCGAATGAGAGTCTTTTCCAGTTCGAAGCGCGTTGCAAAGTTAACTTTGAAACGAAACTTTTACGAAAAAGGAAATAAAGGAAAGAAATGAAAGCAAGGCGAGTCGGATGGCTTGACTGAGCTGAATTGTAACCCTGATCTTGATGGGTTATTCGTCTGCTGGTCGAATTTGGTCTAGTCGATGTAGAAGCATGTGGACATGTTCTTTGTTTCAGAGATAAGCACGAACAGAACACTCTCTTGCTGGTTTTAGAGAGAGGCACGGACTTAACAGTTACAGAACTGAACGAACTGAACTGAACATAAACAAAAAGAAAGAACATAACAAAAACAACAAACATGAGGTCTTGTTCCTTTGTTCGGATCTTTAACTTAAACTCTAGTCCAACCTCCAAGAAACTTCAGGCCAATGGGTAATGGCATGATCTCAGGAGGTGGATCTACTTCTTTACTTATCATAATTTATGCATGGTCTGTGAGCTGGTCTCCAGCACTTAGCAGAGGCAAAAGACCATAGTTTAAACCTTATGATTATTATAATCATAAAACAAAACCTTTTACGCAGATTTCAATCAAGCCATCTTTTGAATTAGGAGAATACGGTTCGTTTAAGAGCAAACGAGGCATTCACACTTCTAATGGTTGTATAACAATTACAAGAGTTAATAGTTAACAACAATTACATGGTTATTATGTGATCTAAGCATAATAACACATGAAGTGTAGGAACAACAACAATTATGATTGGTTATAGGTCCAAGAATTGTTCTGTGGTGAGTTTATATGATTTTATGTGTGAGATCTCCGATCTCAACAGTGAGGTCGTGGTAGGTTCAAGGAGTAGGGGGTAGAGGAAGGTGTTCTGTGTAACATCTCTGTCAGGAGATCAAAGGGGTCTTTGGTTGTGAGCCTCTCGTTCCACCATTTTGGAGTTGACCTGTCTCAGTAAAAACATTAACATATTGACACGTTTCTTTGAGAGATTAGTTTGATTAAGTTGTGTTTGATTCGCCTTGATTCTCTACATCTCCATACTATGCAAATTGGCGTTCTAATAATTAAATACAGTGAATGACAATAGTCTGTGGTCTCAGTGGCTTACTTAACAAGCAGTTTAGTGTTAACCGATTCATTTACACTAAAACAAAGGATAACATGTATGCCAACTCCGAAAACATAATTTTTGTCTAACATTTCATAATGAATTCAGACAAGCTCACTACCCACTCGTTTTCCGTCTGTTTGTTATCGTTAATTGAAATGTGTGCAATGGATTGTGCAGGGTGATTTAAGGACACGATCGGACACACGCATCCTGCAAAACAAGCTGAGTAAGGGATGCAAAAGAAAGGCTGCTTTCAAGGATCCTTCAAATTGAGACGGCCTTCAGAGCCGCTTGATGACGAGGATCACATCCGTTTCGTTTGATAAACAGCTGATTCAGCCTTCATCCCGGAGTGCTGCTATTTTTAGGTTAACATCTAGTTGAATCTTTACTTCCATCTATCGATTGTAACCACATTGGAAATCGTTTAATATAGAGCGCATGTCAAATCAAACTCCACTCCTGGAGGTTTCTGGTTCAGGTGTGTTTAATTTTAGACAGTTGTCCTCCAGGAACCAAGTGACAACCCTGATTTAGGCGACAGGCCTGACACAATATAAATAAAAACATGCAAAGATAGTCTCAAGTAAACAGCACAAACCTTTATTTTTATAAGTTCAGTCATTTTCACAACATAGACAGTTGATTTGGTAAATTTCACCACTGGACACTTTAACACAAAACCCCTTATTGTAAGTACAGTACATTTACTACTGCATATTAGTGTTTTTTTCCTTGTACATCACACTCCAATTATCAGAAGAAAAAAAAGAAAAGAAAAAAAAAATCACAATGGAAAGCATGACTAAAAACAATTCTAGATAAAATGTAGGAAACGGAGAACAAACTCATATAACGATGATAAACTGATCTGAACGCGGAGCGACTACTTTATATGGTGAGCTGTGATGTTAATAAAGATTTAGTCATATCTTCTCACTTCTAATTTCCAGTGCCATGAAAGAGGCTCACTAAAGGTCCTCTATCTATTGTATCATCTGCTCATTAGTCATTAGGAGAGGGACCCACCTACAATCAATTTGTACTGGGCCCCATGGATTTTAGCAGTGCCTCTGCAGATATCTACAATAAACTTTTTTTTTCTTAACATGATTTGAGGTTTTAAATAATCAACAGCATTTGCCACAAATACAGTCAAGCTTTTGAATTTCAGCAAACCAGCTCCACGGTAGATCCGCCTGCTTTGGTTTACAACAAGTACGTTCCAACTAGGATTTTACCCACTTTATCACGTTTCCATCACATCCTACAAAAAAAAAAGGTCTGTTTATGTTAACGGTATGATAAATAATCTGCAACACATGAAAGGTATTTTCTTCAATATTGCTCTGTAATAAAGTGACATTCATTCACAAGCAGGCATACACAACAGCAGGTAAAGAACACCCTTTATATCCTCTTTTTGTATTTGTTTTCATCTTAATATCACCTAGATTTTTTTAAATCCTAGAATTGATACAACACAGTTCACACATAAAACCAAAGACCCAAATGTATGTACAATAAGTTTTCACTAAAAGGAAGGCAGAATAGCAAAGGAAAGATGCAGGAATAATCAGGGAGGGTCTTACACATGTAAACGTTAATACTCGTCATGGACTTTTCTTTTTTTGCAAACGGATTTTTCATTATAGTTGCAGGTGTGGTATTATACAGAGCCACGTACGATATTTCATAGGACACGCCAGTCTAGAAAGTCTTTTCCAGTCAAATCTGAGACATTTGCTAAATTTCATGAGCGTATACGAGTGTTATTGATAGGATGGTTGAGCTTATGGCTCTGCTGTTATACTGAAATTACAACATGGCTGCAAATCAGACTCTGTTTTTGACAAGAAATATACTTGACTAGACCTAATGAAGCATTTAGAATGGAATCCTACCACTATTTGCCTAAATGGCTTTATTTCCTTCCATGCGAATTTACATCAAGGAATGTTTGTGTATGATATCTGGCTTTCAGTCCCGGGACTGAAATTACATGAGGCAAGGCAGTAAACAAGATACAATGTCACAGATACAAATAAGCAAGGTTGGTGACTCGCACTGCAAAGAATTACCATGAAAACAGCATTTATTGACTTCTACAACTTTCTTTATATTTGACTGAATTGGTCATTTTCCAAAAAAAAAAAAAAAGAATAATAATAATAAAAAAAATAATAAAACATTTTAGATATGCATCTCTAACTTTATAATTTAAATACTGAACTGTATTCATTATGTACACTTTTGGAATAAATATACAGAAATCTCTCCCCATTCCTCTTTTTTTTTAATAATATTTGTTCATAAATAAGGTTATGGAAGAGTACAAGAAAAGAATATGAAGGCATCGAAAACGTAAAAGATTTTGTGTCCTAATAACACACCCCTAAAATTTGAACTTCATTAAGTCTTTAAAACATAACAGGCTTAATCAAGCCAAATCGAATTCGTAAAGGGTGCTATGGCTTTCCTTTTAAAATGTAATGGATTACAGGTTGAATAAAACCATGTCAAAGCTTGAGGTGTTAAAGTGAGACATCAGAGAGGAGAGGGTGTGGCCAGAGGAGGCAGGAAGGGGAACTGAAGATTTTATGTTTCTTGATCTTTTTAAATACCTAAGCTCTGTGTGTGTGTGTGTTGGTGCAAGGCAGTGCAGAAAGAGCCGTGGGGTTTTCAGCAGGCGCAGTCCTGGTGCGGGGCAGCGGGTTGCTCTGTGAGCTGCGGCCCCTGTTTGGCTCCCGTCACTGCAGGATCGGCAGCATCCAGGCTCTCTGACATCTTCTCGCAGATTATGTCTACCAGCCGCTCGAAGGTTTGTTTAACATTAATGTTGTCCTTGGCACTGGCCTCAAAATACTCAAAACCTGAGGATGATAGAAGAAACCAAGTCAAGACTGAGGCTCAATCAAAATTCGGCCCTTGCCCCTACCCCTTCGTTTTGCGCGTTCACGTCTAGGGGTAGGGTGTCCCGATTCTTGTTGAAATCGAGGGGTAGGGCGAAGGGGTAGGGCTACATAGCCCTCGAAACGGAGATTTTTCAGAGGCACACTCCAAACGGAGGGCTACGAGAAAGTTCACAGAATGCGTCGCAAATCACCGGTGAGATGGCTTCGCAAAGCCTTAAACATTGTAATTTAGCGCCAGATGATTCCACCACACACTTTATTTACTCTTATAATAATACTATACCCAGATAGCACAAGTCTATTTGATGTGATGTTTACATCTGGAAGACGTATTTTTAAGAGTGTATCCTCATCTGCAATACGTCTATAGGACGTTTCCTGTCAGATGTCAAATAGACGTTTAGAAGATGTCGGTTTAACATGCATTCTAAATCATTACATCTTAAAGACATCTTCTATTTGACATCTGACAGGAAACGTCCTATAGACGTATTGCAGATGAGCAAACACTCCTAAAAATACGTCTTCCAGATGTAAACATCAAATCAAATAGACTTGTGCTATCTGGATTAGTGCTGCATGATTAATCGAATCACAATCGTAATCGCGATGTCAAACCTATGCGTTATAAAACGCAAAATCGCACGATTTTATATGAAATAAACAAATTAGGGCTATTAACGCAGCATCTCTTCTTTTTGTCACCCTTTAATTAGTGTTACATGATCCCACTCTTATTCGTGTAAATGCCTTAACCATTTTGCACGACAAGAAGTCAAAAGAGGGCGCGCTGCCTGTGAATGTCCTGAATGTGACTCGCAGAAAGACGCGCGCCAGTATGCGCATACACAGGCCGCGTGCCAGAATGCACTTCTCTTTCGAGCTTAAATGAACAAGAACACACACAATTATGCCAAAATGTCGTTTTGTCGAGTATCTTCATAACATAAGAGCAGTCTTATGATGGACGAAAAGAGTTGTGCTTGTGAGAGAATGAGGCGGGTGTGAGATCCGCGCCTCGGCAACGGCTTCTCTTAAAGGGCCAGCGGCGAATAAAGCGTTCTGTCAGTAGAGTTAATCTAAGAACAAAGGGAACAGAGAAAATTAGCCTACTCACTGCTCGACTAAAGAATTTTTGTAGCTTTAATAAAGGTTAGTCTATATATAATTTATAGTTCATGCAGCGCAGACTGTTTGATAACTTTATTCAATTTCTGTATCGTACCAGTTAAGAGGATTGCTTGAAGTTCACTTAATTTGAAACCTGTTATATTTTTTTAAGCCTATAATTATTTTAAAAGTTGATTGCTTTCAATTGTAATGATGGAATCACTGCAATGTTGTATGGCTATAATTAACGTTTAAAATGTGGGGGGTGTCGTTATTTTTATACAGACATCAATGGTTTATTGATCACTATAGGTGTTATCAATCATTTTGTTGTTGTTGCTAGTTGGAGTTGAGAAATACAAATTAATACACAGAATGATCACTAATCTGTGTGTGCATTTTCATTTAGAACCAAGCAATGTGACTCATGAAACCATTTGTTTATTATATCGCAATCGCAATATTGACCTCAATAATCGCAATGTGACATTTTCCCCAAATCGTGCAGCCCTAATCTGGATATTCATTTAAATTAAGAAATGACATAATAAATTAGCTTTCCGATCAGAAAAGACATACATTTCGAGGAAGGAATGTTACAATCATCAAGTTAAGAGCAGCTGCGCTGATTGTCAGTCGTTGTCTGTAAAAACTCCGTAACGGCAGAGCCATCACCGACGAATGATGACGTATGACGTAGGGGAACGTTTCAATCCCTTGGCCCTTGTAACTCTGTTTTAAGGGCCAAGGGGTACATTTGAAAACAAGGAGTAAGCCCAAGGGGTAAATTGGGATTGAGCCTAAGGCCCTGTTCTAAAACCCAGTGAGCTGCCACTGACACAATTTTAATTTAAGCGCCATATTCAGCAGTTGTCAGTTGAAAGTCGATGTTTACAAGTTTTACAACATTGAGATGAGGAATCACGATGGTATCTTTGTAGAGCCGGTTTTGGAACAAAAGCCATGTCTATTGTAATTCGTTCTGTTGAAGCTCCAGAAACTTCCAGAAATAATAAAAAAGTGGACTATGTGTGCTTGTTAGAGTATTGCATCTTTAGCTTAGCGACATGCTAACGCTAAACTCTACTGAAATCAATTGTGATTTGTATGACGCACAAATGTTTTTTTTAGTTAGCATGCCTCTTTAGATAGTAGCTCCCTAAGTAGACAGCTTACTAGGTTTTGGAACCCAACCCAATACAGCTAATACAAATATCAAGCCATGAAAAAATAGATAATATGTAGCACCTCACTTGTCGCATCGGGTCAAAATTGCATTGATTAGAGAAAATAAAAAAAGTCACATTTTATTTTTACATTAGAACATAATGTAAAATACAATGAATAAAACAAAATGAGGAAACAGAAAAAAAGTATAAATTATAGTGCCAGTTATCATAAACAACATTTATTATCCACAAGTTTCCGAGGGGCGCTCCTGTAAAAAATAAAGTGGGTGAAACTTCCAGTGAGGCGGCGGAAGTAGCATTCCAATGGTATTTTGTGTGTTAGTTAGCGAAGAGGCTAGCTGTTTTTCGGAGAATTATTTTACTATTTAAAGACGCAAATCTTTATGAGAGATGTCGTTACGGAGCTCAGGGACAACATGTGCTGTTCGCGGTTGTACGTATAACCGGACTAAACTAATTCAGTGGCTTAAACGTGATTGTTTTGAACATAAGCTGAAAACGAAATCAGAGTGATCCTGCCAACGACGGTAGTTTCCATCACCTCCCAAAAGACAACGAATCTTCCTGTGTACATTTGTTTAAATTCTTAATATTCTATAAACTCTCTCAGCATGTGATTGGCTGTTCACTACTGATGTTACACCTAAACTCAGGATCAAAGCCTGTGTTGACAGAATACCAAATGTGCCAGTTAATGTATTCAAGTAGCATATTCATTTATAATTTTGAATAAAGTCCAAAGCAAAATGACTAAGTGTGTAGTTTTTATTTTAATTGTTTGAGCTCGCACAACTGTCTGTCACCATGCCTTGATGAGTATTGATTATTAATAATGTTATTATAATACTCCCAACCAACTACTGCGGACGGTGAAGGTACTGTTATTTCACCCTTTTGAATTTCGTTGAGGTTGTGTTCCCACATCGTTATCTAGTTTGGATCGCTATAACTTGAATGACTGTCAACTGTTGAATGAACGAGTGTCAAGCACGTCAATTCGCGCTTTGTTTACTTCGAACCGGAAGTCGCGCCCACTTTTGACGCAAGGCCTCATGGGGCATAGGAAACTTGTGGATAGACACCAAGTCTAAATCAATTTAACTAATGCGAAAGAAAAACTACCGACACGTGGGCAATTCGTTATAAAAATAAACTTGACGAAAAGATGATTTTAAAAGAAAAACATGTGTTCCGGAAAATATGATATATTTCAGCAACATTTCTCCCTGAAAGAAGATTTGAAATGACACAGCTGCGCCAAACACCAAACATGACTTACCGAGATGCTCGGATAGCTGTCGGCCCCTCTCAGAGGCCACCACCCTCTCATCCTCCATGTCACACTTGTTGCCCACTAGAAGCACCTGAGCGTTATCCCACGAGTATGTCTTAATCTGTGTGGACCTGCGTGAGACCAGTTACACATGGTTAAATCTTAGCTAGTTAAACACAGTTTCCTCTGTTATATTTGAGGCAGATTTGTTTTGCATGTTCCGTTAATTCACCAGTCTTGCACTGCGGCGAAAGACTCCTCGTTGGTTATGTCGTACATGAGGATGAAGCCCATGGCTCCGCGGTAGTAGGCAGTGGTGATGGTTCTGTAGCGTTCCTGTCCTGCTGTGTCCTGTAAAGGAATAGTCAGTAATTGAAGATTACTAAAGATGAAATGGGAACAAATGCATTTTTTACAAGAATAGGCACGGCAGGAATGGGCAACGTCGGTCCTGGAGGGCCACTGTCATACAGAGTTTAGCTCCAACCCTGTAATTTTATAGTAATCCTGAAGACCTTGATTCGCTTGTTCAGGTGTGTTTGATTAGGGTTGAAGTTAAACTCTGTCAGGACCACTATTGTCAAATACAATTGACCATTAGCATATAGTTAGGATTGGCAGACCGGGAATTTGTATCTGGCTCTTATGTACATAGTGGTTAAACATTAGGTAGAATTAATTTGGGGTATATCAAATGGGCAATCTTTGGTCTTATTAATCAATTACTTGTTCCAAAGCAAATCAACTGTACTCTACATAATACAACAAGCTTCAATGAAGTTTTACTAACTCTAAAGCAGCGGTTCTCAAACTGGGGGCCGTGGCCCCCTGAGGGGCCACTAGATGGCGCTAGGGGGGCCGCAAAGAAATTCTAGAATATGAAATTATTTAAAAAAATTATTTTACCTGTATGTAAGTTTGGATTGTCCTATGTGAAATCTGCATTGCATGATTTCTTTTATATTGTAAAACTTGTATAAAATTGTATGTCTTCTATATTGAAAAAGTATTTCTTTAAGTAGAGTAGAATTTTTTTTTTGTTTCTTGCTGAAAAAACAGATTGCTGTTCAAATTTGCAAACCAAACTTGAGCCACTGTCATTTACTACCTTAAAATGTAAGAACTTTAATGCACTTTTTTACAATCAGCAAATTAATTTTTCAGTGTTTATCTTTTACTATGAACATCACAAATGTTCAGTATTCAATACTTTTGTTGCACTTTTCAGACAATATTACTGTTAACTGTCAAAACCATTTTTTATAAAAAAAATTGTTATATTTAATGAAATGTACAATTTAAAAAATTTTGTATATTCAAAGACATAAAGCTAAAAACAGAACTGTTGTTCCAGCATTGTACAAATTCATTTGTTTTTGGTTCAATCTAAAATTTGTAAGTAAAATTGTACGTTTGAGGATGTTTTCGTTATGAGTTTTCTTTTGGGGGGCCACAAAGGGATTCACCCTACACAAGGGGGCCTCCTCCTGAAAAAGTTTGAGAACCACTGCTCAAAAGTGATGCTTTAGAATTAGTAACGTTGGCTAGGGCTCAACTGTTAAACTGCCAACTTTTTATAGACAGTGCATCATCAATTATCGGGGCCGAACGCAAAGAAGATAAGTCATGCCAACATGGCTTGGAGTGTCAGATCAACTTCAACAATGAGAAATAAATATATTTAAAGAAGATTTCAGGCAAAATGGCTGAAAATTCATAAACACAGTAACTAATAATATTATTTAACGGGTTATCACTTTGACCAATAAGTGGCGCAGTTACAAAATTGATATGGTGTGGTCAGAGTGAAGTGACAATGACGCATACAAAGTGGTGTCAACATGTTAAGGCACTGCCAAGGAACGAGTGTCGTTTAAAGTGTCGTTTTGGCATCATGCCTCAAATTTAATGCTCCGGTATATGTCAACGCTTTTGTCTATCGATGCGAAATCTTTTTGTAAGCAATGTCTGGAGATGATACGGTTCGATTTTGGTGAAAATCAGACAAACGGTCTAGGAGTTAGAAAAAGTTGGTTAATAAAGGAAATCAAAATGGTGGACAGGAAGTTGTCTAAGTTGTCCAAATATGTCTATTGTTTTTGGGATATATAACTGGCACAAAATCGTCTGACACTTCTCGCCGAGCAACCTCGCCCGAGACCAAGTATGCAATGTCCATGTGTGTTTCTCTGTATGGTTTCAGAGAAATGGCTCTTCTCATCAGGCACTGCGTTTTAATGTTTTAATTTTGCCTTAGAAAACCAGTAAAATTGACACTTTTTTCCATATTAATTTGTGAATATTTTAAATGTTTAATAAAGGGGCAAAAAGACAAACAAAAATGAAAATGTCAATATTTATTTTTTCTGCAACATTTAGTGTGTACATTTCATATAAATGTTAATGTTCAACATTGCATTTTAAAAATACAAAATCTGTTCATTTTCCGTTTTTTTTTTTGTTTTTTTTAATTACGCATTAAAAAAAGAAAAACCAATGGACGCAAGGCACAGACCGGAGAGATATTAGTGAAATGCTTATTTTAATTGGGATAAAATAAAATGATTGAAAAATCAAATGGATTTGCATTGAAAAAAGGGTCTGAAGCCATATCTAGGGACTAGAATGTCATTGAAACTTGAGTAATTAAATAACCAAGCAACCAGAAATCTGGTTCTTTATATTCTCTTGCCAGATTTGTGAAATACAATTATTGAAAAGGTTATTGGATTTTCTTCCACATTTTTGAAAAGCTGTAGTTGTTGTTATTCCCGAGACAAGCTTTTGTTTGGCCTCTATTGACTGAACTGAGTGAGTTTATAATTAACAGGCTCATTTCTCTGGTGCACTGATGCAGGGATCGGCTCCTTGGGCTACATGGTGAATGCTTTTTGTTATACCTCATCTCACATTTCTCGATAGGAGGAGCTGCATGTAAAAAAAAACAAAACCATGGCTAAATCCTGTATTCCTGGTTTATGTGGAAAAAAGTACAGAGGCTCATTGAAGGAATATTCAGAGATTAAGTACAACTTACAATCGACAGCATGCTGTTTATTACCACAAATAATTTCAGTTTGTCCATAAAAAAAATAATAATTATATACATCACTGATTCCTAAGATTAGGAACAAAACTAGTTTTAGAAGTTATTATTTAATAAAACATTCTTATAAACTGATATACTTGTAGACAAAGGTCTCAGCTAAAGAACCATGTAAGGGAACAGGGTTTTTTAGGTAATTGTTTTTCTAAAAATGTACATTTACTCAACTCCGTCAGACACATGAAAAAGCCCGCTATTTTAATTTGATACATCTAACAACAGTGTAAAGTCTTTAATTAAAAAAGTCTTTAATGGTGTGCAGTAAAGGAACTAAGTGAAAAAATACATTCTCTAAAAACTAATTTAGGGTTATTATTAGCAATCCAGTTCCTAAATTACTTAACTCTCTTTCCTCCTCATAATATTAAAAATACATAACCAATGTTAGGTAAATCAGACAGAGCATCATGTAGTTCCGTTGATGTTTTAGTATCTTAATAGAATTTAATAGAAGTTCTTTCAAAATGAACGCACACCTTCATCTGGCAGTTAAATACTGAGGGAGTTAAAGGTTCAGCTGAGATTACAACTTACAACCAATTGACAAGACAACAAATTAAGACAACTCTTTTTTAAGCATTTTACAACAATGCCATTGGTTTGTTTTTTTCTCCTTTTAGGGGTACGTCTTATTCTGGGTCTCCAATAGCTCACAGAATACAATAAACTTATGTTCGGTTGAGTGCAATGGTATGCAATATTATGTGCTGCCCTATACATTTTTACTTTTAACATTTATTCATTTAGCAGATGCTTTCATAGCGACTTACAAATGAGAACAATAGAAGCAGTTCAAGTTAGGACAACAATATGCAAGTGCAATGACCCTTCCTAGTTTAAACTAACGCAGTACATGTACTTTTTATAAGATAAATTGTCAGTATTAATGGATCAAGTGTTGCCGAAAATGGCTACGAACTCTGCATCATTCCTCCAGCAGGGAACAGACCAGGTAAAGGTCAGAGAAAGAGATTTTGTGCGTCTCTGAGAAGGAACCACAAGACGGCATTCACTTGCAGAGCGCATGTTTCTAGATGGCACAGAAGTCTGAACTAATACGTTTAGGTAAAAGGGAGCAGAGCCAGTGGTTGTTCTGTAGATTCTAGATTCTAGACACAGAAATGTTCCCAATGTGAATCCAAAGGAGCTGTAAACCGCATATATTACATTTTATTTGTGCCGACCTGCATGACTTAAGCAGTGGGGAACTTGCATGTTTGCTCTATATGAAGTCCATTACATCCAGGTTTGCTATTGCTGAGATCTCATGTGAGTAACAGGTTGTAAAAAAAAAAATTGTGCACAAATAAATTATTTAATAAGAACTGCAGTGTTCCATAAAAATAAGAATCATCAATTTCGAATTCATGGTGATGGAATAGATGTTATGTATCTATTACAATATAAGGCATGATAATCAGGTCAAATATATACTATGTAAATGAAAATGAAACAACATTAGAACAATTCTTTATATGCAAAAAAATAAATACACCTATACATACATACACATACACACAAACATGTGTGTGTTTATATATCTTTATATGTATATATAAACACACACACACACACACACATATATATATATATATATATATATATATATATATATACACATACACTATTTTAAGGTGACGTAGTTACATTGTACTTAAATATGTTCTGATCAATATGAATTAACTACATGTACTATAGAGTTGTGGTTAGGGTTTGGTTTAGGGTTAGTTACCTGTAATTATGCCCAATTTAATGTTATTACTAGAGTAAGTAACCTACATGTAGTAAAGTGTAACTTTCCCACCCTTAATATAGGCCCATATTTAAATAAAGAGATATCTTCCACCAGCATGGAACAGTCAAGTGTGTGTGTGTGTGTGTGTGTACACACACACACACACTACTTACAAGTATTTTTGGAATGTGATCTAATTACAGATACTTAATTTTTGGAATCTGATTCCGTTGTTTTTAAAATGAACTAAAGTCTTATGGGTTTGGCACAACAGGTTGGTAAATGATCAACTCCAGTTGATTCAACAATCAAAGACCTTCTAAGAAAAACATTAAACTGTGTTTTGAGAAAACGTTGACTTAGCCTGAAAATTTGAACAAGCACAACTTATAGGTTACACCCCCTTGCTCTCTGCTGTGCTCCCCCCACAGCTCCTTTTTGATTTTTGACACCGAGTCAATGGGCCCTGTCTAATTCTTTCCTTTTCGCTTGTTTATCGCCATCTGTGTTTTTCCTTTTACCCGTCTTTGTTTTATGAGCAGGTGCCATTCGAGAAATCTGCAGTTTATGTTTTCTAGAAGAGAAGAGGAGGAGGAGGATAGAACTAGTGGACATCAGCCTAGTTATCAAATCAATAGACTAATGGGCTTTATGCACAGCTGCACTACTTCCTGAACTTAAGCCAGCTCCTTGTTTCCTGTCTGCCATTATTGGCCAAATTGATTATTTCAGGTGTGTCTGATTATTGTTGCCGTGACTACTGTGGTCAGGCACACCTGAATTAATCAATTTGGCCAATAATGGCAGACAGGAAACAAGGAGCTGGCTTAAGTTCAGGAAGTAGTGCAGCTGTGCATAAAGCCCATTGTCACCGACAATGTAATCTATCATTCCTATAGAGACTTCACAAGGTCAAAATGGAGTCTACTGAACATCACTGATGGACCTATTAATATACCAAAATATCTGTGAGACCAAAAGCCTATTTTTGGCACTTGACTCTTATGCCACAGTCATACATCAGCATCTTTTCAACTATATGCTGCAATCCAGCAAGTGTTTCTGTTTTCTTTTACACTGACCCTGAACCATTTTCAAATAATACAGTACAGAACATCTGGGCAAACACGCACTGTTAAGCAAAAACCAAATAGTATGCGGACTACAAAAGAGCACACAGCATGGTGTATAATGCACTTAAATAGACTTTGTGACGAATAAACTGGAAGCATTAAAAACTGCATGTCTTGGGACATAACTTGATCAGACATTCTTACACAAAACAAAATTAAATGAAAAATAACCCCCTATATTTCCAAGGTGACAACTGGGCGCCACTCTATGAGTCATGCTTGAGGTCATGTGACAATGTGGCATAGTGCTATCTGAAATGTTTATCGGTGCATAATACTTTGAATAAATGAAGAAGGTTGAGCATATACAGTACTTTTTGTGCAGTATTCAATAAATAGCAAGCGACTATTCAATTCTGAATCAGCCAAACATGTCTTTTTAGACCATATACTGTATGCCACACAACACTATATATATATGATCCATGGTAAGATGGCGAGAGCAAGCTTTTCTCTAGTGTGTGTGTGAATCTGGTCAGGTCTTTGCTGCGGTCTGTGAGGTGGGGGAGGGTCGTCTTCACCAGAGGGAAATTTGAGGCGTTGGGGGAGGGGTCCTGATACATCACAAGCGATTCTGATTGGTTACCCATCAGCAAACCTCCCCAACCATACTAGCTACTGACCATTTCTCTCTCTGTGTGTTGTTCTGTAGAACACAACATTTCTTTAAACCACAAAGGGCTTAATTGACACCATTGTTTGATTCTACATATTTAGGTTTATGGCATTACTATCACAATTGTATTTATTTTTTTGAATTTTGCATCCTGTTAAATGCCTGTTTTTTTTTCTTTTTTGCATATTAAACCACAGCTCTGTTCCAGAGATTTAAATAAGATTTATGGGTGTGAAATAAAACAATCAATCAATAAACAGTGACTTTAATAATGTATCACCTACTATAGACTTTCCAGTAAGAAAATAGCTAAAATGCAAAAATTGATTCATTATTCGGTTTTGAAAAATAATAATAAACATCAATCTCTTTTTCTACCACAACTGGCACAGATATGTTCCATTTATCTACATCAGGACCTAATCAAAGCTCTCCGTGCTGATGGGAAACAATATCTCACCCAGATCTGCAGCTTTATCCTCTTGTCATTCCTGTAGATGGTCTTCACCTTGAAGTCGATGCCCACCGTGCTTACAAATGCTGGGGTGAAGGAGTCATCAGCATAACGAAACAGAAAGCTTGTCTTCCCAACGCTGCTGTTCCCGATGATCAGGATTTTGAACATGTAATCAAAGTTCTGGTCGGAAGACTCCTTTTGTCCATAACGATTATCTGTAGCTGAAGCCATCTATAGGATGTAGATAAGAAAATATTTATACATTTGCGTAACCATTATTTTAAGTTCCAAAAAATTGCAAATAGTTAGCATGTAACATTGTAAATCACAAACATGCCTTCTACGATTCCTCCGTCTGGATTCTGTTTAATCATAAACCAGCAAAGCTTGTATCCAGGGGCCAAAACAATTTTTGCCACATCAACAATGGCCAGTGACTTGAGAAAATGTCTTGCCCATGAAACTTGATTTGCTTTATTTCATTACTGGCTGAATGATGGGAAACCAATCTAGATGTGATTTTTCTAGTTAAAATAGTGATTGCAAATTATAATGCATTTTTTAAAAGCACTCCAGGATCGTTGTGCTTGTGAGTGGGTCAAGCATAGTTTAACCAGTTACCATAGTAGTAATACTATTGTTCTGTAAAAAAAGTGTCTACAAATTTAGTATTTAATACATTTTAAAATGCACGTATTATAAGCGACCCAAAATCTCAGCACTTGTGTGAGCAGAATTTAATGCGTACCGAGCCGTTCTGAGATGCTGAAAAAACCCCAAAGATCATGAGTTGCTCAGTTGTAAAAGAACACACCCTTTCACTCTGAAACACACAGATCATCAGACTAAATATTATATAACCTAATCGCTGCCTTTGCGATTTGATAATTCAATTAAAATTCATAAAAGTTACAAACCAACTAGTGACACAACTTCATACACTCACCAACTGCAGTTTCTACAAACATTTGGCGATTGGTAATTGTTCAATTTAGGCCCTATTTGAATGCTTTGCAGAAATGGCAATCCCAGAATGCAATGCTACTTCCGCCGCCTTACCGGAAGTTTCACCCACTTTATTTTTTACAGGAGCGCCCCCTGGAAACTTGTGGATAATTGATAGATTGACCAATGCTTCACGGTAAAAAGCAACAACTGATTTGTGCATAGCATACACTGCCATTTTCTTACGAGGCATTCACTTACCCACTGCGGCACTGCCCCCCACCTTCGCTTTGATATTTTGTAGTAAAAAATCCATTTAGTTCAATTAGAGAACAGACACTACAATTAAAAACTGAACACATCAGCTCAATTCAGGGTAAGCCAACGAGAGTTGCAGCACAGTTCAGAAGCAAGAGTCCGATTTCATTTATCAGCATGGTGTACGCCGTCTATCGTTTTGTTAATAAAGCCGTCTTATTTATTTTGTTAACAATTTGTTCCATGTTTAATTTAAGTGAGTTAAATTACTGTGTACTGAGTTCAAAATAATAATGAACCCACCTTTCAAGTAAATGCAGCCCCCGAATTGCAGCTAAAACGGGCATTCATAAGCAATTTAAAAGCAAGGTGGAAAAGAGGAAATAACATCACTGGAAACTGTCTGTTTTTATTTATCCACACTCTAGGGCTCTATTAACATGAAATCACGATTAAAACGATTTGTCTTGTGGTTATGAAATCGCAAAGGTTGCGATTATTTTTTATGCGCAGCTTGTCAGTGGCTCAATAGTAAACTCTGCTCCATCTGAAAGCACTACGAGATTCAGTCCCTAATAATGTGCATTTGATAAAGCAACACACATAAAACATCTTGCCAAACTTGAGAAGCATGTTCAGATGCAGCATTTACTACTGAGTGAGCACAGAGCCGTGCTTCACTGACAAGCTGCGCATAAAACAAATCGCGTGTGGTTTAATTTTGATTAATCGTGCAGCCCTAGTACACTCAAAGTAAAAACAAAACATTGTGCTTTTGTAAAATAAAGAAAACAAACTGGATGCCATCTCAGTTTCCTTTCTATGAAGTTGTGAAGCATGTCACAAAAATTTATCGAAACTCAACATATAGGCTACTACATAGACTGGGCGATATAAGGAAAAAAAAATAGATTTTTTTCAGAACAATTGAGAACAATTCAGAACAATCTCATGAAGTAGCATGTGTATGACACGCCAATTCGTATTTCCATTTTTGGCGTGCTATCAACACGCATAATCGTTTTTCAGCGTGTTTATGCACGCCGTTGACTTAACGTTATTACTGTATATATAAATATATGTCTTACCTAAAACTACAATTTGGTTCAAGTAAAGTTCTCTTTATTAACCAACTGGTTAAAAAAAAGTTATATTCAAAGTGAACCACACCTGAAGTGATCAACAAGGTGTAAAGGTTAATGTTAAATGTCTTTGCAGATTATATGAAGGCAAATATTGAACAAACTTATCTAAAAGGGATACTCCACTTTTTTTGGAAATAGGCTCTAATCCATTCAGCCGGGTTTTATTTAGAATAATATCCGAAACCAGACAGTTTCTGGTCTCATTGACTTCCATAGGAAAAAATATATACTATGGAAGTCAATGAGACCAGAAACTGTCTGGTTACTGATATTCTTCTAAATATCAGAAAACCGGCTGAATGGATTCGAAAACAGTAAAACTCAACTGTTTAACTCTGAGGGAGTTGTAAAATGAGCCTATTTCCAAAAAAGTAGAGTATCCCTTTAAACTTTCTATATACTCAGAAATAATATTAAAAAACTTAAAATATAACTAAATATATTTTGGCCAAAAAGTATTAGCAATAAATAACACCAGTTATATAACCGGCTATTATTAACAGTAAATGCTTAGTAAAAACAGAAAATAACAGCACATTTCAGCCTGTCACCATCATGCAAACATGATATATCAAACCAGAGTGATCTCATGAAGTAGCGTGTGTATGACGCGCCAATTCGTATTTCCATTTTTGGTGTGCTATCAACATGCATAATCACTTTTCAGCATGTTTATGAACGCCACTTAACATTATTACTATATATAAATATATGTCTTACCTCAACCCCGTCCCTAAACCCAACCGTCACTGGGGTTAATGGCATTTATGACACGCGGAATCACTCGGACATTAATGGCGTAGACATATACGCATACACGCGGATAGCTCAAAATGCGTAGAGATAACACGCCACTTGACTCGAAAGTGGCGTGTTGATCAAACATAGTTCTTTACAGGTTTTTGCCTTTCCTTGCACTGCTTTTCTTGTTTGGCTGTTGCACTCGTGTCTCACGTCTTTTGCAGCATCCAACCCATGAAACAGCATTTTAAAATGTAGCGCTCAAGTTAAAAAAAGTTCAACTCAGGTCTAATAACAATGCTTTTTTCCCCCATTCCACTTCCCGCATGTCTTTTTTTTTTTTCAAAGAAATAGAGTGGTGCAGGTATGACGTTACTTTTGTAGGCCAACCAGCAGTTAGCATCACACTGGTTCCCTCTACAAGTTATTATCTAAAAACATTTATCCAGAACTTTTGAGTTAGAATAGTTTGTACAAGCACAATTATAATCATAAAGATGCTATAAAAGCGGACTGAGTTTACAGGTTTGGCGTGATGACGTTAAATCTCCTCAACATCCTCTGCAGTCCCAAATCAGAAAAATTATCCAGCCCTGCTACTATTTGTCACACAGTTTTTTGTTTGTTTTGTAAATTTGTTATAAGTGAAATATATTTTGTATTATATATTTTTTATTGTTTTTCTTCATTCACAGAAGCACTGTAGATATGTAATGTGACGATTTATGAATCCTCATGTTCTGTTGTTTATGCTGCTATTTGTGCTTGAGCTTGGTTCATTTAGGAGCTTGCTGAAGATAGTAGAACACGCAAAAGCTCAAGTTCGGAATGACTTTATTTGGATTCACTATGGCTGAGTGAATCGTTGTCCTATCCACTATCTGACACTTATCCCTTGAGACCTGTGACCAAACAGCAGCGGTAGAGTCACCAGCTACTGAAAATCAGTCAGGCAAGAATCCCAGGACAAAAGGAAATGTCTGAGCGGCTGCCATGTCAGATCAATGGCACAGGACCTTCTGAATATAAAACAGTCTTTTCAACACCTCCATCAGAATGTGACAAAGGCGACTCAATCTACTGTCCATCTGAAGTTTACATGAGCTGCTGTAATGATGATGATCATTATAATCTGTGATTGTATAACCTTATGGCTGTAAATTGCTTAAATATATATAAGGGTAAATCATTATAATGTCTTAATGAGAAAACTTTAACATTAGAATAAGAAAATAAGATAATGATAGTAAGTTTAATAAAAAGGTTTTATATATATATATATATATATATATATATATATACACACATATTTATACACTGTATACAAACACACACACGTTAAATGCACTTACTATAGTAATTTAGTCAGAATTACAAGCAACTAACCCTAAACCAACCTCTAACTTTAACCCTATAGTAAGTACTATGTAGTTTATTAATATTACTCTGTACTTTTTTGTTTCATTTCACTGTAACGTCACCTTAAAATAAACTGTAATGGCATTAAGAAAGTTAAAAAGTGCAAATGTAACATGAACTTACTTTACATATCGCAATGAATCAACGGTTGGAAGATCAGATTGGGATCAAGTGAAAAGCAATAATCAGATCTTATGGGTGTCTGACAGCCACATAAAATGAAGAAAAAGCTGAAAATCTGAAACTGTTTTTGCATTCTGCAAACGGATGCGAGCACCATTGGGCAGGGTGCAGTGCTTTATCAAGAGACTCCAAGCTTCCGCAAGCCGAGGACTTTCATCAAGTGAAAGTCGTTATCCGGCTCATAAACTTAAGTTTTTAGCATTAAAGTGGAGTGTGACAGAAAAATTTCTAGGTTATCTGTACAGTGCCGACAGTCTTCCTCTTGCTTACATCTTGACATAAGCCAAGCTGGATGCAACGAGCCATTGGTGGTTGGCTGCACTCTCCACGTTTTCTTTCAAGTTTCAATAGTTGACCACAGGAATCCTCGCCCTGCGGCGAATCCGATCAAGAACTCCTCAATCAGTGCACCAGACAACATCTTCCCGATTCTGGCGACCCCTCAATTCCATCTAAGGGTTGTCAATGCCATTTGCAAGAGTTGCCTCATCAGAGTGGAAGCAGCAAGTCCCTGTCCATGGCAGACATTCTTCCTGAGAG